CATGGGTTTTTTGTTTTTTTATTTTTTTAATAAAGGATGTCATTTTCCTTTATGAGAACAGACAAACAAAAAACCAAACCTGAACACTGACGTTTTAGTTTAGAAAAACAACTCATACATTAATATCTTCTGTCTTAAAAACAGTCATGCCATAGGTTCTCCACCACTGCCTTAGAGTGTATCATGTGGATTCTGTGGTGTGTGAATTGACTTTTTTTTTTTTTGGTGGTTTTTTGTTTTTTGTTTTTTTTTCTGGTACCGGGAATCGAACTCATGACGTCACGCTTGCCAGGCAGGCACTGTGCCGCTGAGCTAAATCCCCAGCCCTTGAATTGACATTTTGAGGTAGGGGCAAATTTTGTTCTCCCAAAATACATGAAATGTTTTAAGAGTTTGCTAGAACTTGAGACTTAACTAAAACACTTCCTTTTTAGGACATAGGGCAACTTAATATATCAGCACCTACCAATTTGTACATAAAGATCACCATGTGTACATAAGATAGAAAAGCATATTACAGTTCCCATTTTGTACTCTCCCCCCCCAACTATGATATTTGTATTTGTCATTACTGGATAGATATTGTCTTGGTTACTTTTCTGTCATTACTGAGACAAAATACCTGACACCCAATATTAAGGAAGGAAAGGGTTTTTTTTGTTTTTTGGCTTTTTTAAGGAAAGGTTTATTTAGCTTATAATTTGTGAAGGTTTCAGTCCATACTTGGCTGGCTCCAAGGCAGAGGGCAAACGTTCATGGCAGCAGAAAACAGGGAAGGAAGGCAGCAACAAGGGCAAAAGGGAGGAGGGGTGGCAAACAGCCTCTTTCTCTCTCTTCCATATGCAAACTGTCCGCCCCAGGGCGGGTGTAGCTCTCACACCCATAATCCCAGCATTGGACTAAAAGCCCGCCCCGTGACTGCATGAGGCTTTAGGGGGACATCCAGACACAAACCATAACAGATAGGTCTAACCTGAGTCCGCCTCAAGCCACATCTGGAGCCCTGTCCAATTTTATTACATTTGATTACAGTTTCTTACTTAGTTTTCCACTGTTTAAAATGCAGCTGCTTGTTGGGTCTTAGCATTCAGGTCTTCCCTGTGGAATTCTGGGGGACTGAAAATTAGGTAGCATCACTGGCTAGCGGGCACCCCAAGTCTGGGTAGCATGTCTATACGGAAATGGTGCCACACCACTTCCCAGTTGAGGGTGCTTGTCAGTACTCTGCTGTGTGAGGAAACGGTGTCCTGGACCAAAGGCAGAATCCCAGACCTGAAGAGCTTAGGGCCTTGGGTGGTACACGGTGCACGCTCTGGAGAGGGCAGGCCACAGCTTCCGGGCGGTGGGTACCGTGCCTTTGCCTGGCCCCACGCTGTAGGAAGGGCTTAAACCTAAGTGGTGTTTCCTTGGAAGCCCGATTCCCTGTGTGGGTCAGGCCTTGCTGCTGCTCGTTGGTCACTTTGTGCACCAACGCGGCTAGCTTGGTCTGAGCTGCCGAGCAGTCTTGAGAACAGGAGCCGCACACATCTGCCGGGTGCCTCCTACTACGCGCAGCGAGCTCGGCCTGGGGCTTTGTGCAGGACGAAGAGACCGCAAGGACAGCACAGCATTTGGGCACCGATGAGGCATGGACACTCTCCAGAGCCTTGGCCCCCGACAGTTGTGGCCTCGTTTAGGGATTGGTATAAGGAGAAAACTGGGTGGGCCTCAGAGCAAGTGACTTGAAGCTGCTGTGTGATTCGTTGGGAGGGCGGGGTGGAGGGGAGGAGCTGGCCCCGCAGCCTGAGCCTCAGGAGTGGCCGCGACGCTGCCTGCAGGCCTCTGCACTGTCTGCACCCTGCCCCCCGGCCTTCCCCGGGGTGTGGACCCCCTCACTGCCCGGTCCACATCGTCTGCCACGGACTGGGGGGTGGGCCTCTCTCCAGAGCTCGGGTAGGGGCTGGGGTTGTATGGTTCTGAGTGGGGCACCTCCTTGCTCTTGTTCTAACTCACACATAAACTGACAAAGAACTTTCCAAAGTACAAAGTCTCCACATGGGAAACTGCCTGGAACTGTCCTAAGTCTTAGGAGCTAGATTCTTTCCTAATTAAGCAAGTTCCCCCTCTAGGGAGTAGAAATGAAGAAATCGGTGTTTTATAAAATGCCTATCTGTACTTCAAGCTCTAAGCTTTCAGAAGCCTTTATAGTCTGCACTAGTGGTACATGACATTCAAAGACTTAACATGAATCCTAAAAAGTTCAATACCTGTACTAGCTCTTACTTTAAACCTTGCTATCACAAGAATTCTGCTGTGTGTCTAGTCTGTATTCAGTATTGTACTGAGTACAGTCTTACATCATCCTCTACTAAGATTCTTTATTTTTATTGGCCAACTTTTAAATAAACTTGAGCACCTTGTTACCCTTGTTCAAACCTGCATTAAATGACTGCACAGTTATTGTGTACGGGCTGTTCCTGGCAACACAACGTAACACACAGGGAGAGGCGCATAATAGTGTTCTATGTGTGTCTTTTCTCGTGTCCTTCAAACCCTTTAAAACACCTTGTTTTTTTCTTTTTTTAGTTTTTATTATGTCTTTGTCCTTGTGTCAACAGCTGGGAGATGTTAGTGACTTTTATTCCAGCCTTACTAAAAGCCTTTTGGAGGGATGTAAAAGATTTTAATTCTCATAGAAAACAGTATATATTTAAGATATCAGTGGCTTGCACAGAGGTCCATTATGTTTACTGGATCCCCTGCCCCCATATCAAAGGGTAATTGGAGAGTAGCAGGTTCCTAAGTCCAGCTGAGGGAGCGCTCGCCTGTGTACTGAGGAGAGCACAGCTTGCTGCTTCTCAGGCGTGGCTGATCACATGAAATTGAAGCCGTCATTCTGCATGGTACACGTTTCCAGGGCTCTTGGGCATGTGCTTTTATAGTTGCATAGATGTGCAGGGTACATAGGGGATGTTGCTGGAATTCTGGGTTTACTGTCTGTTCAGAGTTAGGAAGCTGATCCGGTAACCCTCCTCCTCCTCAGAACTCCCAGCAGATGCCTGAAACCTGTACCTGGGAATCTATAGTAATAAAGCGTAGTTTTTACATTAGGCATAGGAAGAGATTAACAATAAGTAATACAGTTACTGACATGAGAATTATGTGGCTGTTCTCGCAAAAGTGTCAGGACAGACATTAATATTTTTGAACTGTGTAACTGAGACAGTAGGAAGCGAAGCCCCGGATGAAGGGAACTGCTGTGTGTTTATCCTGGGAGTGGGTGTTGTGGTGCAGAAGGCCACTGAATCTTCGTCATTATTGCCCCTTGATTGTGTCTGTCTCCACTGATGCGGAGAAGTTGTTTATGAGGGGTGGGGACGAATCCAGACATCATCAGGAGATCACTGTGGCTTTGGGCTTTTGTACTAGGAAAGCGTTAGCATGCTCTGGGTTCCTGAACCAGACCGCCGGTAAGCGCTGTGCAGACTCAGGTAGCTGTTGGAGCACTTGCGGGAACTGGAGTTGGGAATAAACATAAATGTGTTGAGTGGGGGTGAAGTAACGGAAAGTGAGAGGTTAGAGAACCGTTCGAGGACTAACAAGGAAAGTACGGGGTGACCGTGGAGGATGAGCTCTGTGGAAGGCCGTAAGTTTGAGTGTGAATTGTTCAGTGAGTTCTTCAGGCTTCCAGTTAGAAATTAGACATGTCAAAAAAGGGTCTGTTTTCTCCTTTCATTTGGTAAATATTTTGAACTGTTTGCTTGATTGGATAATGGAGTAATTTTTTAATTAAGGAGAGGCTGGTTTGTTCACATTTCAGTGTCTTTTTCTTGGCTGATCGTGGGCCTCAGGGTGAGTTTGAACATCATCCTTTTGCCTTACTCATGCTTTCCTGGGGACAGAGGGATTTCGAAGACTAAAGATGTCAAGTCTTCTGGAAAACCAACATGTGTTACAAGTCAGCCTGTATGACTGCTGCAAAAGTTCTTGCTTACATTGGAAACAGACTGATGGTGTAAAGCCCGTGAGCTGTGAACTCTCTCCTTATTTCCTTAAGGAAGCACGTTTTCCGGGTGAGAAGTTAGATGCCAGGCAGCTGTGTTGCAGCTGGGGCGTGAGGGGGCAGACTGCTAAAGGACTGACTTAGGAAGCCACGCGGGGAGCATGCAGACACCAGCCAGTGGCCCTAAGAGGTGGGCTGACCTATCTGTATATGACCTGTATGCGTGCAGCTTTGGTTACAGCCCAGCTGCTGTGCTAGAGCTTATGGCCTCCCTAACAGGAATAACCCAGCTGAGAGACTGTTAGTCTTTCATTGCCTGAGAGCTTACAACTGGGTGAAAAGCCCATCCCCTTACCAGAATCGGTGTCTTCTGTTGTTCTGGCAGCAAGATGGGACAGACAGCCCGATACTTGAGACTTTCAGTAGCTGATTTAGCCTGTTGGTACACCTGTAAAATGGGTCATGTGATTTACTTTTGCATGATAGGATTAAGGGTTAGGACCCATAAACAAAGAGTTCATGGCACAGCTTTTCTGTCTGCACGCATTTATAGACACACTCGATTCCCATGTGCAAGATCTTTCCATTCACCGTCACTGACTGCACAGCACTTCTCTGCACAGGCTTCGTGGTCGGGAGTTTTCACGTGAACTGTCAGAAAAATAGTGCTGCTGCCTGCCCTTTCCTTCCCCTTCCCCTTCCCCTTCCCCTTTGCCTTTACCTTTCTTTTCTTTTTTTGGAAGTGCGATAAAACCACATGCGATGTCAGGATGTCTTCCCTACGGTCATGGTCACGGTGCCTTATGTAAAGGGTACTTTCACGCATTTTCCTGAGTAATCCAGTTCCATACCTTCCCACTGCCATGATTTAAATAAAGCATGCAGTTTCAAGGAAATCAAAAAGCGGGTGTTAGTTGTACTCTGTGCTGTAGTGTAAGCAAATGTGATCATTCATGTTTCTCTGACTTGATTTCTAAAGGTCACTCCGAGCTTGGGTCTGGGAAAATGTTAATTTCTCCCTTACTATTTTCCGTAGGTGGAATACATGTTGGTATCTTTTGATCATGAAAATAAGAAGGTCCAGTTGGTCCTGAATGGAGAAGATGTTCTTGAAACTCTACAAGAAAAGGGAGAGAGGACAAATCCAAAGTAAGCTGCTGATGTCCTGGAAGCCTGACCCCGTGTTTCTAGAACTTGGAGCTGCTGAGACAGCATCTTTGCTCACACTTACAGAGGCAGGATGGCGTAGCATTAGGAGTGTGAGCTCCTGCTCCTAGTTGACTCCAGTTTCAAATACTGGTTCCTCTACTCAGTCACTGAGTAGCTTTAGCCCCCTCTGTACCTTAGTTTTCTCATCTGTAAAGAGTATCAATATCTCCTCTATGGTGTTGGGATTGAATACGTTACTGTGTTTAAAAAACACAGTAAGCTAAACATAATGCCTGTTTTACTATCACTAAATTTTTTTTAAAAAACATAATTAAGATCACACCCCATGATGCTAAATAAAACTCTTGGAAGTAGGCTTTGGCTGGCTGGCATGATTTTTTTCTTTTTTTTTTGAGACAGGGTCTTGCTATGCAATTCAGGCTGGCCTTGAGCTTACTTCGTAGCCCAGGCTGGTCTCGAACTGGTAACAATACCCCTGCCTCAGCCTCCCAAGTGCTGAAATTATAGGCATGCACCACCACGCCCGGCTGGCATAATGTTTTAACAGCATCGGAGAGCCCACACAGGGCCCAGGCACGTGCATTCTGGTCATTTCCACCCACGGCTTTGGGAGACGGCAGACTTGAGTCCCTGAGGGCCACTTGCTCCTGTCCCGCAGCTGGCTCTGGCTCTGTCCCAGCAATGAGTGACTTACAAGTACTTCAGACCCAGTATTTTTTTATTTCTTACATTAGTTGAAGAGCTATGAAAGTTATCAACCTTACAAAGTTCTTAGCTTTGCATACAGCTTCAGATTTTTGAAGTAACATTTCAAACTTCTAAAATTCAAGTAGACTGCAGCAGAAGGCTAAGATTGAAAACAAGCTTGTCCTCCCTGCAGCCATCCTACCCTTTGGAGACCAGAGTACGGGAGTTACATGATCGAAGGGACGCCTGGACAGCCCTACGGAGGGACGATGTCCGAGTTCAACACCGTGGAGGACAACATGCGGAAGCGCCGTGAGGAGGCGACTTCGGTGCTGGAGGAGAACCAGGCCCTGTGCACAATAACTTCATTTCCCAGGTTGGTTCCGTGGTGCGCGTCGTCCCACGCTGGGGCGGTCCCGCCGCCCAGTGCAGAGAGCAGTTTCCGGTGAAGTCAGTCCCAGCCCAGCTGCTCCAGGACACGGACGGAGGGGAGCTGTTCATTCTGGATAATGGGACGCCAGGGAGGAGAGACCACCTCCACCCAGCTCCTCCTGCTGCAGCACCAGCAGCTACTGAGCTGTCAGTGCATGAACCCCCCCAGTCAGCCATGTTCCGGACGCAGGAGGCTTTGGGGACAAGTTAGCTCCGAGCCTTGACCGCTCCTATTGCTGATACGTCTTAGTCGGAGTGTTGGAGCTAGAGGTCATAGAGTGAGCAGGTCGTGGCCCACCTGCTCTCGCTCTACAATGCTTTACAGACCGTTTGTAATCTGTGCGTTGCCCTCCACCTTCCGGTGGTCCTAGCAGTCAAACACCGGCTGTATCCTCAGGCCTTTATTTATTTTTTATTTTGAAACAGGGTCTTGCTAAGTTGCCCAGGCAGGGCTTGAATTTACGGTCTTTCTGCCTCAGCCTCCCAGAGAACTAGGACTGCAGGTCACCACTCGCGTGTATGCGCTGTGTTTTACAGACTATTACATTAGCGGTGCAACAAGCCTCCCTGCCAGCCCCACCCGGTGGGTGGTGTGAGCGCTCACCGGGCCTGGTGGGAGAGGGCTGATGGGTGGCGTGGAAGGAGCACGCGTCCGCCACCTAGTCCCGCCCAGGCGCTGGTGCTCACCCTCGTGGCCTGCTCGTGGTGAGCGGCCCCCAGGGTGCCTCCGAGCACACTTCCACAGTCTGGCAGACGTCGAGCACGGATGCAGCAGACCCGTGACTGGGTAGAACTGCATCCTTCTTTACTTTGGTGGTACGGGGGCTGGAGCCCAGGGCCTTCCTACTGAACTACGTCCTCAGACATTTTTTTCAAAATTTTTGAAACCAAGTCCTTCATTGCCTGTGCTGAGCTAACTTGCACCCTCAGGCTCCCAGGGTGCCCGGCTAGAGCTGTGCAGTATCATGCGTAATAGGAAGGACTTCACATGCCGAAGGTTCTTAGCCGAGGCTGTGTGTGTCAGGGCACAGCAGAGGGCCACCCAGCCCAGGGCGTTGCTGATACATATCAGCTGTGACCAGGGTGAGTCGTTGTTGGGTACTTTGCTGAAAAGAAGACTTACAGTTTGTTATCAAATCTGGTATGATCGAAAGTACCAAAAAATTAATGCAGTGAAGTTGTGTTCTCCATTCACCTGCCAAACAAGGTGTCTCCATGTAGCAGTGCAGCTCGACCCAGTCCTAAACTGACCGTCGGCGCTGGGTGCTGCGGACGGAAGGTGCACTCACCTCGCAGAGTTCAGAAGAGCTCTGGGGTCAGCATCCATGTCCAGAACACAGTGAACTATTCTTATGCTTTTTCCCCTCCTGATAGATGCCTGCAATGTAACAAGTGTCTACAGGTGTACGTTAGTCTCAGAGGCACACTTACATGGGAATTCTGACCTTACGGTCTCCACTGGAGCATCTAATACAGTAGTTAAAACCTCAGAGTTCCTCATCAAATCCCTAAAGAAGCATCTCTTACTCTTGTGTGATTTTTTTTCTATTTTTTGCAAGTCACTCCTCTCCCCCCGCCCCCTGCCAGAAGAAGAAACTCTAGTGAGGTAAGGGTAGACAGGCCCTTTACCCGGCACTTGAAACAGGTAAAGTCCCTGGTGCTTTGGCTGCACCCTGAGCGCCTGCCCTGCTCTCACGGCAACGACCTGCTCCACAGCCCCGGCACCCGCTCTGCTCTGGCAGGCTGCTGGGCCCCGCACCTTCCGCCTGCTCCAGCCTCCCCCGGGCCGGGCCGCTGTGTGTCGGGAGAAGCCTCTCTCCTCCTGCTCACAGTTGCTCATGCCACAGCCCCGACCAGGGCTGCAGAGCAAAACACGACCGGTCCGATGACCCATCTTTTCAGAGCGTCCCACTGCTTTCAGGGTGGCCAGGGAAGCGCAGCTCACCGAGCTGGCCGCCACCTGCCGGACGCACCCGCACTGCGCGTGCCCCACCGGCCCGGGCTAGCCAAGGGCTTCCACGAGGCCCCACCCAGTGCGTCTCACCACGCACCCCGCTGCGGCACGTCTCTCCTCCCTAGGACACCCGCCTGCTCCCCACTCCTGTGAGACTCCCCGAAAGCTTCTCACGTCACCCTAACGTGAGGCACGGGCTGGTCCGGCCCCCGAGCAGAAGTTCTGTACCGTGCGTCTAAACCCTGACAGGCGCCCTTGCTCGCTCTCTCTGACCGCGGAGGTTTTTGTCCCCCTCACAGCGCTCGGCACTGACCTCTCAGTTCTGAACAGGGAGGGCCAGGGACTGCTGTCCAAGGGAAGGAGAATTGAATTAAGCCTTGGATGTGGGGACAAATGAAGAGCTTGTTTACTGTGTGGAATTAGAGCTGCTTGTGGAGCTAACACGTAAGAGGGTTTTGGACTTCAGGAGAACACCAGAGATGTTGCCTAACCGGGGCACATTCCTGGAGGCCCTACTCAGGTTCCAAAGCCTACCAGAGGGCTCGGCAGTGGTGATGAATACTACGATTTTATAACTGGTGAAAGAGGACACTCGGAAGCTTGTCCTGCATCGGCTGTCCCTTGTGTGCTGCCAGGGCCAGAAGAGGCTGAGCACGCGCTCTGCAGAGGGGCAGTGAGTGGGGGCTGACGGTCAGCCAGGGAGCACTCCATGCAGGGTAGCAAAGTGCAGGGCAGGGCTTGGGAAGGGCGCGAGACTCCAAGAGAAAGGGGAGTGAAGTACTGCAAATGAGTGCTTGGGACGGACGGGAATTGCAGCAGGACGAGGTGGGTGACCCCGAGGACTCGTCCCATCTATTAAGTTCTTCAATTTGTTGTAGATTAGGCTGTCCTGGGTTCACACTGCCTGTGTATAAACCCAACCCAGTCGAAGGAGGAGCTTCAAAGTCCCTGTTCTTCCCAGATGAAGCAATAAACAAGCACCCCCGCTTCAGGTGAGTGTGGCCGCCTGCTGCAGTGTCCTCCCACACCTGCTTTCTGAGATGATACTCTGTCCTAGAGGTGCTTTCTGAGCGTTCAGTGCTTCTGGCTCCTCTCCTCAGCGTAGGAGACAGGAGACACACCCATCACATCCTCAAAGCTTGGCTCCCTGACGTTGCTTCTGGCATCCAGGTTTGATCTTTCTACTTCAAGTGGTTTTTAAAGTCATTGGTTTAGCCACCATCCTCCTTCCTGAGCAGACGTGCTTCCCGGTGTGGGGAAGTGCCCTCCTGGTGACTCCTGCCTTTTCCTGTCTCTGAATCCCACCGAGAGCTGTGACTGCTCATCCTGCCCTGTGTACCACGCGGACACCACTGCTGCAGATGATAGTGCTCCCCCCTCTGTTCCATTGGCTTCTCGGCCTGTTTGCAGTTTCATTCTTAACCTCAAACTGCTTCAGCGCCCCAGCAGCCTGACCTTGGCTTTGTGTGGGGAGCGCTTCAAAGAAGAGGTGGCATTTAAGTTGACTGAGTCACAGCAGGAACCACTGGAAGCATAATGAAAACTCTAAATATAATCGTTAATTTTCTAGTAAGATGTTAAAAAACAGAGGAACCGAATTTGATAACATACTGTATTTAACCCAGTAAACCCAAAGTATTACTTCAACGTGTAAGCAACATTTTTAAATACATTTTAAAGAATTTTTACTTTTTTATTCTGTTCCGCAAGTCTGGCACGTGTCGCTGTCAGGGCCGTGTGCATCAGGGCCGTGTCCGTTTCCACGTCAGCAACACAGTGTGCCTGGGGCGTCGGGACTGGGCAGCACACACTGCGGGGGGCGGGGGCGTGGGGACTCCGGGACGCCTGGGAGCGAGTGCTTAGATGTGCAGAATCTTTGGAGATGAAGTGGGCGCGCTTAGGAAAACACCTGCACTTGGGAGGGAGCAGGGAGTCGCGGAGGAGCAGGCAGGGAGCAGCAGAGGGAATGGTGTTCCCCAGCAGGAGAGGGCCTGGGTGCGCATGTCCTTGTAGGAGAGTCCGCAGGAGGTAGGGCTTCGTTCTGCCCACGGGAAGTACGTGTGGCCACATTCCCCCTTGACGATGGCTCCGAGACGCCCAGCTGGTGACGTGTGGTTCTCTGTTCCAGTACCCTGACAAGAAATATCCGGCACAGGAGAGGGGAGAAAGTCGTCATCAACGTACCAAGTGAGTTCACAGTGCAGAGAGGGGCGAGACTGAAACGGCACTGCTGTTTAAGCCTTGACTTTCGCCTTTCCTTTTCTGAATTGCTAACACAGTATTCAAGGACAAGAACACACCGGCTCCCTTCATAGAAACGTTTGAGGATGATGAGGCAGCCAGGGCTGCTAAGCCAGACCACATTTACATGGACGCCATGGGATTCGGGATGGGCAACTGCTGCCTTCAGGTACTGTTTGAAACGCACAGATGGGCAGTGTCCTTATCCACTTCTCTGTAACTTTTTAATAATATATCATGTTTTCTATTCTAAAAATCACATATAATCAGATTGAAATGGTAACTGCTATGACTTTCTCAAAAACAACAAAGGTATATTGTCATTAATTAAAATGCAGAGCTTTCCTTGAGCACTGTCTCCATTTGATTTCTGTCTAGTTGGTACTGCCACCTAGTGGTAGTTGAACAAAACACTTTCTGAAAATGAGCTATAGAGGAAGCATGTCAGTGATTTGCTGATCCAAGGGAAAGATTGGACTTCAAATTTATGTATTAGTGCAAAGTCATCTAGTGGTATAAAACGAATACATATTTAGCAGCCTACGTTTGCCTCTTCCCTGGCTACATTATACCAGTAGTAAAGTAGCGCTCCTCCATTTACTCCCTTAACGCACCGCCTAACGCGCCAGCCTGGATCCATGACCCATGTCCCTGACGGTGACTGCCCTGCCTCCCTCCCGTGAGCAGGCGGGCGAGGCCTCCACACAGGCCCATGGGACGTCAGTCTGTCTGCGTGGTAAAAACGCCTTTCATTTCTTTTGGCTCAGTTTTCTCAGTTTTCAGTTAAAAGAAAGGTTTTAATTAAGGAGCTGTCTAGGTCTGACTTTAAGTAACATTTATTTCATTGCTCTTATTTCTAATGCTTAAGCCCTAATTTGATTAAAGTCATGATATAATAGGAGAAATTGACCAAAATATAAATTTTCAAGTTAAAAATTTCAAATTTTAAAAGACAGAGTGAGAGAGAGAGCAGCTGTTGGTTGTCCAAGGAGACTTTGTTCAGTTGGAATTGCTTCAGCTGACTAGAAACTGCCCCTGGGGCCTGGAGCCCAGGGAGCCTGGCCCTTGTGGGCTCCTCTGGCTTCACCCTGTGGCTCTGGACCCCCAAAAGCCTTGCATTCTCATCTCAGGTAGCTGACCAGGTGGATGTATCTTCTCACACACAGACCCTCTGACCTGTTCTTTTCTTTGTTACTATTTTTTGTTTTGTTTTGTTTGTTCATTTTTAAAGCTGTGTAGAATCCAAATTGAATGCTAGGGTTGTATTTTTCCATGCTAAGTGTTTAAATAACATGGCCAGCCATGACATTTTTTCTGCTTTCTTTCCTTTTTTTTGTATGATTTTTATTGGTACATTTTAGGTACACATAGTGATCACTATTCATCATAGAGAATTTGTACCTGTACATGATATAACTTGGTTATTTTTTTCCCTATTCCTCTGCCCTCCGTTCACCCCTCCCCATTTACAACAGCTTTGTTTACATTTTTCCCCTTTCTCTCTCTGTTTTTTACTTTTCCCTTCTTTCTTTTTCTCCTCCCCCTGCATTTTTCTCCTCCCTATCTGAACATTTTCTTCCTGTTTCACAATACCTATTGTACATTTTGGTCCTTATTTACACTTCAGACTTCTCATACTAGAGAAACAATGTGGTATTTGCCCATGTCCAATTTATTTCACTTAAAAGCATGGTCTCAAGGTGCTTCCATTTACCTAGGAATGTCTCAAGCTTAGTCTTCTTCATGATAGAGTAGTACTCCATTGTATTGAAAAACCCACATCTTTGTCTGTTCACCAGTTGATGGGCATTGGGCTGTTTTCAAGACTGGGCTATTACAAACTGTGCTGCTGTAAATATGGGTGTGTATATACTGCTGGGGTATGATGCGTTTAATTCTTTCTGGAAGATACCAAGGAGGGAACTAACTGGGTCAAATGGAACCTCTAGTCCTAGTTTTTTGAGGAATCTCAACACTGATTTCCACAGTAGTTGTACCAGTCTGCATTCCTACCAACAATGGAGAAAGGTTCCTTTTTCCCCACAGCCCCACCAGCATTTGTCATCCTCTCTGAGTGAGATGGGATCTCAGCATTGTTGTAATTTGCATTCTTGAATGACCAGTGATGATGGACGTTTTCTTATATATTTATTTTCTGTTTCTATTTTTCATTTGAGAAGTATGTAATTATTTCTGATGCCCCTTTTTACTGGGTCTTTAAATTTGGGGCATCTGATTTTCTTGAGTCCCTGTTAGATATTAGACCTTTGAGGAATAGCTGGCAAATATTTTTCCCGCACTGCGGGTTGTCTCTTCACTCTGGTATGGTTTCGCTTGCTCTGCAGAAACTTTTTAATAAGATGAAATCCCAATTGTTGATTCTTTGTGATAGTTCCTGTGCGATCTGGGTTTTGTTCATAAAGTCTTTGCTTATACCAATGTCTTCAAGAGTTCTACCTGTTCTGTCTTCCAATAAACTTAGTGTTTCTGTTTCAATATTTAGGTCTTTGGTCTATTTTGATTTTAGTTCAGTACATGGTGAAAGATATGGGTCTAATTTTAATCTTTGGCATGTGGAGAGCCAATCTTTCTTAATACTATTTATTAAAGAGGCTATCTTTCTTCCAGGGAATGTATTTGGCACCTTTGTCAAAGATAAGAGTTGTTTCTGCATCTTCTAATCTGTTCCACTGATCTTTGGGTCTATTTTGTTTTGTTGCTAGTACCACGCTGGGTTTTTGTTGTTGTTGTTGTTGTTGTTATTGCTGAGGTTTTTTCTTTTGTCTTTTTGAGACAGGGTCTCACTATGCAGTTTAGGCTGGCCTTGAGCTCACTTTGTAGCCCAGGCTGGACTTGAACTCACAACGATCCTGCTGCTCCAGCCTCCCAAGTGCTGGAATTACAGGTGTGTGCCACCATACCCGGCCCACACTGTTTTTATCACCATAGCTCTATAGTATAATTTCAAATCTGGGATTGAGATGCTCCCTGCCTTGCCTTTGTTGCCCAGAATTGCCTTTGCTATACTAGGTGTCTTCTGGTTCTAAGTGAATTTTAGGATTGTTTTCTCTAATTCTGTGATATACGCTGTTGGAATTTTGATCAGAATTGCATTAAATCTGTATAACAATTTTGGAAGTATGACCATTTTCCCTATAATTTTTCTTCCTACCAAAGAACGAGGGATAGCTTTCCATTTGCTGATATCCTCTTTAATCTTCTTCATCAGAGTAGTATAGATTTCAGTGTAGAGGTCTTTTACTTCCCTTGTTAGATTGATTCCTAAGTATTTCTCTCTCTTTTTATGATATTCTGAAAGATATTCTTTCCCTAACTTCTCTTTCAGTGAGTTTGTTATTCATGTACAGGAAGGCTATTGATTTTTGAGTATTGACTTTGTATCCAGCCATACTACTGAATTTGGTTATTTAATCTACAAGTCTTTTGGTGGAGTTGTAGAGGTCATCTATGTAGAGTATCATGTCATCTGCAAATAATAATAATTTAACTTCTTCCTTTCCTGTCCTTATTCCTTTCATTTCTTTCTCTTGTCCAATTGCTCTGGCAGTTAGTTCCCAGAACTGTATTGACTAGGAGAGGTGACAGTGGACATGCTTGTCTTGTTCATGATTTTAGAGTGAAGCTTTCAGGTTTTGACCATTTAGTATGATGTTAACTGTTGGCTTGTCATAGATGGCTTTTACCAAAGTAAGATAAAGACCCTGTATTCCAGTTTTAAGTAGGGTTTTTATCATGAATGAGTGTTGGACTTTGTCAAAAGCTTTCTGCATGTATTGAGGTGATCATGTGATTTTTGTCCTCGGCTCTGTTAATATGGTGTATTACATTTATTGTTTGCGTATGTTGAACCATCCCTGCATCCCTGGAATGAGTCCCACTTGGTCATGGTATATAATGTTTTTGATGATTTGCCGTGTTTCGTTTGCCGGGTTTTTTGGGGTTTAGTTTTTTGGTGTGTGTGGGGGTGGTACCAGGAATCAGACTCAGGACCTTGCACTTGCCAGGCAGGTGCTTGTGCTGCTGAGCTATATCCCAGCCCTGTTTGCCAGTATCTTACTGAAGAGTATTGCATCTATGTTCATTAGGGAGATTGGGTAGTTTTCTTTTTTGGTTGAGTTCTTCTCTGGTTTTGGAATCAGGGTAATACTTGCCTCCAGAAATGATTTTGAAAGTCTTGCTTCTCTTTCAGTTTCCTTAAAGAATTTCAGCATTAGTGGCATTAGATTTTCTCTAAATTTCTTGTAGAATTCAACCGTGAATTTGTCAGGGCCTGGGCTTTCCTTTGTTGGTAAATTCTTTGTAACAGTTTCCATTTCATTGGCTGATATTGGGGTATTTAGGATTTTTATATCTTTGTTTAGTTTTGGCAGCTGGATTGTGTCTAGGAATCTGTTCATTTCTTCTGTGTTTTCCATCCTACCAGAATGTAGGTTCTCAGGGCTGGGGATTTAGCTCAGCGGCAAAGCGCCTGCCTGGCAAGCGCAAGGTCGTGAGTTCGGTTCCCGGTACCGGAGAAAAACCAAAAACCAAAAACCAAAAAAAAAAAAAAGAATGTAGGTTCTCAGTAGATATTGATGATCTTATGAATTTTTTTAGAATCTGTTGTGATTTGCCCCTTTTTATTCTTAATTGCTTAAATTTGTTTTTCCTTTATTCTTTTTTATGAGGTTGGCTAATGGTTTATCAATATTATTAACTCTTTCAAAAAACCAACTTTTTGACTTATTGATTCTTTATATTTTTTTTTAGTCTCAATTGCATTAATTTTTGTTCTTTATAATTTCCTCCCTCATATGAGCTTTGGGTTTGATTCTTTTTTTTCTAGAAGTTTGATGTTCAACCTTAGGTTGTTTATTTGAGGTCATTCTGTTTTCCTGATGTGAGAGTTTATCGCTATAAATTTTCTTCTTAGGTCTGCTTTCATTGCATCCCGTAAGTTTTGGTATGTTGGATCAGCATTATTATTTCATTGTATGTACTGTGTAATTTCATGTTTAATTTCCTCTGTGACCCATTGGTTGTTCGGAAGTGTGTTTAATTTCCACGTGTTTATGTAGTTTTTGTGATTTCATTTGTCATTGATTTCTTGTTTCACTGCACTATGGTCAGATGGTGTGCAAGGAATGATTTGAATTCCTCTACATTTACTTAAACATGTCTTCTGGGCTAACATGTGGTCTGTTTTGGAGAACATCCCATGTGCCACTGAAAACAACATGTATTCTGATGTTTTTGGGCAGAACACTGTAGATATCTACCAAATCCATTTATTCACAGTCTTGGTTTAATTTTAATATTTCTTCACTGAATTTTTTTTTTTTTTTTTTTTTTTTTTTTTGTCTAGTTGCTCTATTTGTGAGAATGGGGTATTAAAGTCCCCTACTACAATTGTGTTAGTGTTTGTTTGGTTATTCATGTCTGTTAATATTTGTTTTATGTAGTTGGGTGTGCCAGAGTTTGGTGCATAAATATTTATGATTGTTATCCCTTCTTCTTGGAGTTTTCCCTGAACAAGTATGTGGTAACCTTATTTGTCTCTTTTGGTTAGTTTTCACTTAAAATTTGCATTGTTTATAAATAGAATAGCTACCCCTGCTTTTTCTGGGTTCTTGTGGCAGGGAGAAGTATTTTCCATCCTTTGACTTTTAATCTATGAATTTCTTTTTGGGTTAAATGTGTTTCTTGAATGTGTCATATTGATGGATCTTGTTTCTTGACCCATTCTACAGTCTGTTTGTTTTGATTGGTGAGTTGAGACCATTTACATTGATGGTTATAACTGATATGTATTGGCTTTTGGTTTTCACGTTGTTTTCCTGTTGTTGGTTCCATGTCTTTTTTCTGTTTGTTTGCCCTGCCTTGCAGCTGCTTTCTGTTGGTGTTCATGTATTTGATTTGCTTATGTTGAACCATCCCTCCATTCCTGGGATAAATCCTACTTCAACATGGTGTATAATCTTATTATTCGGTGCATTCTGTTTGCCAGTTCTCTTTCTTGTCTGGTTCCTTCTTTGGTTTTGGTATCAGGGTAATGCTTGCTTCCAGGAATTGTTTTAGGAGTATTGCTTCCCTTCCAATTTGATAAAAAGAGTTTGAGAAGTAGTGGTTTTAGGTCTTCTCTAAATTTATTGTAGAATTTAGCAGTGAATCCATCAGTGCCTGTATTTTTCTTTGTTGGTAGTTTTTTAATTACATTTTCAATTTCATTGATATTGGTTTATTTAGAATTTGTATGTCGTCTTGATTCAGCTGTGGTTAATGCATATATATCTAGGAATCTGCATTTCTTTTGTGTTTTCCATTTTATTTAGAATACAGATTCTCAAAGGTGGGTATTGATGGTCTTCTGGATTTCTGCAGGATCTGTTATGATTACCATTTTCATTCCTAATATAATTTTGTGTTTCTTCTTTTCTTTCTTTTTTATAAGGTTAGCTAAGGGTTTTTTAAAAGTTTTATTTAATCTTTCAAAGAATTAACTCTTTGATTCATTGATTTTTTTTTTTCTATTTTCTTAGTTTCTATTGGATTAATTTCTGCTGTGATCTTTATAATTTCCACCCTCATAAGAGCTTTGGGTTTGACCTGTTCTTGTTTTCCTAAAAGTTAAAGATTCAACATTAAGTTGTTTATTTGAGCTTGCTGTTTTCCTGGTATGGGTATTCACTGCTGTAAATGTCTTTTTTTTTTTTTTTTTTTGTCTTTTCTTCCAGTACCAGGAATTGAACTCACGACCTTGCGCTTGCCAGGCAAGTGCTTTGCCGCTGAGCTAAATCCCCAGCCCCTGTAAATGTCTCTTGTAGGACTGCTTTCATTGTGTCCCATAAGTTCCAGGATATTGTGTTGACATCATTCATGTGTAAAAACTTTCTAACTTCTTCTGTAATTTCATCTGTGACCCATTGATTTTTTAGGAGGATGTTATTTAATTTCCATGTATCTGTGAAGTTCTGGTGGTTTCTTTAACCATTGATTTCCAGTTTGATTGCATTATGGTATGATAATGTACATGGAGTAATTTCAGTTCTTTGCATTTACTTAAGCACATTTTATGAGCTAGGATGTGATTAATCTGTTTTGGAGAAAATCCCATGTGTAGCTCAGAAGAATGTGTATTCCCATAATGTGGGATGGACATCTTCTGAGTCCATATTGTTTAAAAGTTTGGTTCAGTTCTAATATTTCCCTGGGTTTTTTTGGTTTTTTTTTTAATGTCTAGTTGATCTGATTTGACAGTGGGGTATTGAGACCACCCAGTACAATTGTATTAGTACTTATTTGATTTTTCATGTCCATAGTATTTGGGTATCTATCAATTTGTTTTTGTGTAAATGTTTCTTGTATGCAGCATATTGTTGGATCTTGCTTCTTGATCCATTCTCCCAGGGTGTTTCATTTGATTGGTGAATTGAGACTGTTAACATTAATGGTTATAACTGATATGTATTAACTTATCCTTGTCATGGTATTTTCCTGTTGTTAGCTCCCCTTTTTCCCCCCTTTGTTTAATCATTTGCCTTGCCTGGTGGATTCATTCTTTTGGGGTTCGTAGAGTTGTATTCCTTGTTATCCCTTTCTAGACTATCCTTCAGAACTTTTTTTTTGTCTTTTTTTTTGAGACAGGATCTCGCTATGCAGTTCAGGCTGGCCTTGAGCTCACTTTGTAGCCCAGGCTGGTCTTGAACTCACGGTGATCCTCCTGCCTCAGCCTCCCGAATGCTGGGATTACAGGCGTGTGCCACCACGCCCGGCTTCAGAACATTTTGGAGTGCTTTTTGGTGGTGGTGGATTTCCTCGGGTGTTCCTTGTCATGGAAGTATCTTTATTCTCCAAGTTTGAACAATCATTTTGCTAGTACATCAATCTGATTAGAAGTTGTTTTCTTATAGGGCTTAAAATACTTGACTCCAAGCTCTCCTTGTTTGGAGGGTTTGTTCTGAGACGTCAGCTATGATTCTGATGGTCTTTCCTTTTAGGTGACTTGCTTCTTTTCTCTAACAGCTTTTAATATTCTGTTCTTACATTGACTTTGTGGAATTTTGGCTGTTGTGTGCCTTGTAGATTTGTTTGATCATGGCTAATTGGAGTTCTACAGCCTCACTTAACTCTATGTCATATTTTTCCCCTTGCCAGGGAAGTTTTCTGCCATGACATTTGTGAACAGGTTTTTTTGTCATTTTTGTGATTTTTTTTTTTTTTTTTTTGGACAGGGTTTCACTGTATAGTTCAGGCTGGCCTTGAACTCACTTTGTAGCTCAGGCTGGCCCTAAACTCACAGCAATCCTTCTGCCTCAGCCTCCCAAGTGCTGGGATTACAGGCATGCATCACCATGCCTGGCTTTCTGCTTTTTTTATTGACTTCAATCAATCTTACGTTATTCTTCTTTGCATCATACAACAGCTGCTGGATTTATTTCTCATGGTCCCTTGCTATTTTTAAGAAATCTTTCTTCTCATGATCCTTAATTGAAAGCTTGTCTGCTATGTCTGAAATTCTGTCCTCATTGTCCACATTGGTTTATTCTACTGCGTATACTTTTTTTTAAAATTTTTTAAATTATTATTTTAAAGAGTAAGAGGATAACATAGTAATAGGGGGGCGTTTACCGAATTACAGACAAAGTGGTAGGAAATTATCAATAGTTGTTGTTTTACATATTGTTATCTACAAGATAGTTTCTCAGGAAAACAAATAGACAAATAGTAGTGAGTTACAGACAAAAGTGGTAGGAGATTATCAATAGTTGGCCCCTCTCCAAGATGGCTACCATTTTTGTTTGTTTGAGACAGGGTCTCACTACATAGTTCAGATTGGCCTCAAACTCCTGACATTCCTCCTGCCTCAGCTTCCCCAGAGCTGGTATTACAGGCCTGCACCACCAAATATAGATAAGCCCTCAGCTCACTTGAAGTGAGCAGAAGCTGCAAGCAGAAGAAGGCTGGTGCAAGAGGAAACCCCTCCCTGCCCTCACAGCACCACGTGTGTCTTGTTTCACCTGGGAACATAGTTGTCTGTGCATGTGGAGTGTGACCGAAACGCCACTTTCTAGTCACGTTTGCCCACGGCAGGTAGCTCCTCAGCAGGACCTGTGGGTCGCGTGCAGCCGTGGGATAGCCCTGACCTTGTCATTGGTTTTAAGTGCTCGAGAGTGCTGATGAGTCTTCGTTGGTGCTAATGTCTTGCATTCTTAAACAGGTGACATTCCAAGCCTGCAGCATATCTGAGGCCAGTTACCTTTACGATCAGCTGGCCACTATCTGTCCAATTGTTGTAAGTAGAAATGACATCTTATTTTAAATACATCTTTGAATAAAGTAAGATCACAGGTGCAGAATTTACTATGTGTGTGCTGTTTCAGTTAAGACTTCTTTCAGAAATGAACAATGTAAGGCCGAGTGTGGTGACACATGCCTGTAATCTCAGCACTTGGAAGGCTGAGGCAGGTGGATCACCACAAGTTCAAGGCCAGCCTGGACTACACAGTGAGTTCAAGGCTAGCCTGAGCTACATAGTGAGACCCTGTCTCAAAAAGCAAAAACAAAGAATAAACAAAAAAAAAAAACGGCAAACAAAGAAGAAATGAATAACGTAAATAGCATTCCTGTTGAAAATTAACAAGCTGAACGTCCAAGCCGTGGACCCTTAGCTGCTGCTGGTAGAACAGCGTGTGTTGAACAGAGGTCAGGTGTGTGGCCCTTGTCCCCCTTGCATCATGTCCCCCCACTGTAGAGAAAATGGGCTGAGCAGGTCGGAACCACAGCTTCGCATTTCTAGTTCATTTCACGGTAGAAAGCAGCCCCAGGCACGTGTGCAGCTCTGTACGGGCTGCCTGAACCAATTCTGCACCGGAAAACTGCCCATGCTCTCCTGGCCCGTGTGAGCACCGCTGGCTGCAGGGGCTGACTGGCGTTTGTTTGTAGATGGCGTTGAGCGCTGCGTCTCCTTTCTACCGAGGCTACGTGTCCGACATCGACTGTCGCTGGGGAGTGATCTCTGCATCCGTGGATGACAGAACTCGGGAAGAGAGAGGACTGGAGGTGGGGTGATTCCCTCAATCGAGCGTCTAGGTTAGCGGGGCTGTTGGGGCTGCATGCTGCCTCGATGCCTCCCTCCCCTGCTCCCCTTGAGCTACTCGGTCACATGTGGGCAGAAGCACACAGGATGTCACACATCTTTGCTGTGGGTGACTGTGGGGAAAGTGACATGGTTGGGGTAGGGAGTCGCTTTCATCGTGAAATCTGTGTTTGTTTTAGGGTCTTTCAAAATAGTAGCTCAGGTTTCTGGTTTGGAAGTCCGTGCTGAAGGCTCCGACCCGACGTGAGCGCTCCCTGTGAGACCCTGAGTGTTAGCGGAGCGCCGTGTCGTCGGAGTCGGCCTTCCAGGGAGAGAGGCTTGGACAGGGTGGCTCGGCCCGCTCCTTTGTATGTTCAGCGCCAGCGCAGCGTCCGTCCAGACAGCAGTGCACACTGTAGCCACTGTGGAGAGGTTTTAGGTCAATAGCCTGACCCCTCCCAGGCTTGTGAGACTCTTTCTAGCTGGAACCTGGACATGGATGTTTTTAAAGAGTTGACCACAAGAATTCTTTGGTACCAGGAATTGAACTCAGGACCTTGCACTTGCCAGGCAGGCACTTGTGCCGCTGAGCTGTATTCCTGGCCTGACCACAAGAATTCTGATGCTCTGAGCTAGGGCTGTTCTACTCTGACTGAGCTATATCCCCAACCCCTTTTATTTATTTTTTTCATTTTGAGACAGTCTTACTAAGTTACCTGCACTGGATCAAGCGTGTGATCCTCCTGCCTCAGCTTCCCAGAGTGCTAAGATTACAGGAGCGTGCCACCGTGCCTGGCTTCCCCTCTGGTCCTTGTGTAATTATTGCAGCTTACTGAATGTGCTGTCTAGAATGTGTCCTCAAAATACACTGCTACGTGCTAGGTGGGGCATGAACTTCCAGACACTCATGCGGCACTCATTCACACTTCCTACGTTCCAGCCGCTGAAGAGCAGTAGCTATCGCATCAGTAAGTCCCGGTACGACTCCATAGACAGCTACTTATCGAAGTGCGGTGAGAAGTACAACGACATCGACCTGACCATAGACAGAGGGATCTATGAGCAGCTGGTGCAGAATGGTGAGCGGCCCTTCGGCATGTCTGGGTTTGGCTGGGCACCTTCTGTTCTTGAAAGCACTTTTCACCTGTTCCTGACTCCTGGTCTGGTTTCTGTTTTTAGTGTGAAGTCTCTAACTTTTCTTATGAGGCTGCTTGTTCCTAAAGTTCGAGTTCAAAATACTCGTGAGATGTTCTTGACTTTCAGCAAAAGGGGCTCACTCTGGGGCTCCGTGTCTAGGTCCGCAGCAGTGCCCAGCAGGCACTGTGTGCGTGGTGAGTGAGGCTCTGACTCTCCCCAGCGTCCGCAGGATGAAGCTCTGGGCAAGCTGAGCGCCGCGGCCCCAGTTCTGACGCTCCCAGACGCCCTTGCCCGAGCCTGGGCCTGGGCCTGGCGAGTGGCGTGGTGGGCTGTGCAGGGGCCCATGCGCTCTGTCTTCGCAGGCATCGATCACCTTCTGGCCCAGCACGTGGCTCACCTCTTCATCAGAGACCCCCTGACCCTGTTCCAGGAGAAGATCGACCTGGATGACGCCAACGAGTCTGACCATTTCGAGGTATTGCCTCTCCTTCACGTGAGCGTCTCTGCATGAAGCAGGAGACGATTTTCTGTACTCGGGAGCAGCTGGGGAGAATAGAAGTCTCATGTGACTCTTACTACTTAGTGCGGTAAAGAACCAAGGAAATAAAGCTGGGTTTAAAGTGCCCTTACTTAATTCTTCTACGAGTTGTTTCTCAGCGTTTTTTCTTGTTTGCTGAGTGACGGAAGATTCAAGCCTCTTGCACAGAGGTAACCCAGTCATCTGTTTCAGTGCCGCAGCCTCCACCTGCGCTGGCCGGGCGCTCGGGCAAACCCTACAGCACGGCGGGCTCCTCTGTTCAGCGCTGCGTCATCGTAACAGTGCCCGAGTGTGGGAAGAGTCGCGTTCATCCTCTGCTGTTTTGTATTGTAGAATATTCAGTCCACAAATTGGCAGACCATGAGATTTAAGCCCCCGCCCCCAAACTCCGACATCGGCTGGAGAGTGGAATTCCGCCCCATGGAGGTGAGGCCTGGCCCGGCCTGGGTCGTCCCCACCTCTGGTGCTGGCGTCCAAGGCTCCCGAGTCTGTCACGAGGCAGCAGGAGCCTAGTGTGCTTGCGCTGAACAGGACTGTGGGCAGGAGGCTTCGCCCAAAAGGGGAGCAGCGGTGGCTGGGGGCAAGCCCTCCAGAAGGGCCGGCCAGGGCGGCGCGGCTGCGCAGCTGCTCCCTGACGTTCCGGGGCTTCTGCTCCTGCAGGTGCAGTTGACTGACTTCGAGAACTCCGCCTATGTGGTGTTCGTGGTGCTGCTCACGAGGGTGATCCTCTCGTACAAGCTGGATTTCCTCATCCCTCTCTCCAAGGTAGGCGTGCAGGGCCTCTGCGTGTCCGGTCCGGGGAGTTCACTGCCAGAAGGACAGAGCGCTCCCCGCTTTGCCCTGTGGTTTTGCCTTTTTGGCTTGAGCCTTGTTTCTGGAAGCCTCCATTCAAGACAGTGGCTGGAGGAGGTCCCGCACACTGGTGCCGTCCCCCCAGGAATGTGTCATTTGGACTGATAAAATGAGGGTGGGGAGGGAAACCAAACCAGACTGGAGGTGTTTCTGGGGAGGTGCATGGCCTTATACTGTCATAGAGACGGGTCTCAGGGCACACGTCTGAAATTTTAGCACTCCAGGAGGCTGAGTCAGGAAGATCACAGAGGTTGAGTCCAATCTAGTCAACTCAACAACTGGATGAGACTTTGGCTCAAAATAAAGGGCTTGGGACTTAGTTTTGTGCAGAGGCTCTGGGGTCAATCCCCAGTACTGAAAAGAGAGGGGTGGAGGAGGGAAGAAGCAGCAAACAAGCATTAGTCGGCGAAGACCAAGGAGCCCCTTTCAGGGGAAGTGTCCTTTCTGGGAGGGCGTTGGCTGAGGAGGGTCAGGGCCCTCAGCAGGAGGAGGCTCACCAGGCAGCTCTGTCACAGCGGGCAGCAGAGGAAGCTTAAACCCGGTCCTCCCGACCTCACCTGGGACACCGTGCTCGCTGGTCACTCAACCATGACTTGCCAGCTGCAGCTGGCCCCTGCGTCACCTGAGGTCCGTCTCTGTCAGCTTGTCCCTTCCTGCCGTGACCCAGGCCAGAGGTATCCTGTGGGATCGAGGGGCCAGCGTGGCCTTGTTAGGGGACGTGCTGGGGACACCATCCCTCCCAGGACATCCGTACAGGGTTAGGCCAAGCCCCCAGGGTGGCACAGTGCCTGCCTGGCAAGCGTGAGATTGTGAGTTTGATTCCCGATACCAAAAAAAAAAAAAAGGAACAGATACCTGAAAGCCAGCGGGAAACTTTGAGTGACCCACAGCCGGGCCCACGGAGGACACTGGCCCCAGTGGACAGTGCAGTCGAGAACCAAGAGTTCTAAGCAAACCCCAGTGGGAGCACAGTCCCTAGGGAGGGTGGCTTCCACAGATAAGCACTGCAGACCAAGGTGCGTGGGAAGCATGAGGGCTCTAGAAACAAGTGCTTTTCATTTATTTTATTTTTGGTATTTTGAGACAGGGTCTCACTGTGTAATCAGGTTGGCCTTGAGCTTGCTATGTACCCCAGGCTGGCCTCAAACGCAGCAGCAATCCTCCTGCCTCAGCCTCCAGAATGCTGGGATTACAAGTGTATACCACCACATACGTCAGAAACAAATACTTTTAAAACTCAGTATACACATCAGAAAATACCTGTTACTGAGGAACCTGCAGAGTGACTTAGGAAACCAAGTTCATGTTCATTCCTGCAAAGTGGCAGAGAAATCAAAATTATGGGAAATGGCATTGGAAAGTTCAGTGTCTGGCTAATAATTTAGAAGTCTACTGGGCCAGGGATATAGCTCAGTGGCACAGTGCCTGCCTAGCAAGTGTGAGGTCGTGAGTTCAGTTTCTAGTACCAAAAAAAAAAAACTACATAGCAGAGATGCAAGACACCATAATAAAAGAAATAATGGACAAATCTTAAGAGATGGAAAGAAATCGCAAATCCTGCGCAGTAAAAAGGTGACTGTAGAATTCTTTTCCCGGCCAGATTCTTTAGATTCCAAGTGATTCTTGCAAAACTCTGTTCAGCCTGCTGCACCTGTCAGCTGGGTAGCCTGTAAACAAGTTGTTCTCCTTGGTTCTGGGGATTGGGAAATCAAGATGAAGACCCAGGAAGTCTAGGGTCTGGTGAGGGTTCGCTGTTCCAAGTGGCTCCCTCTCGCTGCCCTGAAACCTGGCAGGGAGCTCCACCCGCAGGCTCCTCAGCCGGTGCCCTCGCCAGGACAGAGCCCTCCGCAGACGCTGCCTGCCGGGCAGTCAGAAGTGAACGGTAGATACGTTTTACTGCCTGACAGAGAGTGATAATTTCAAAACTGCTGGTTTAAAAGTAAAGAAAATTATGAGTAGAGAAATAGATTTTTTTTTTTTTTGGTCTTTTTGAGGCAGTGTCTTGCTATCAGTTCAGGCTGGCCTTGAGCTCACTTGTACCCAGGCTGGTCTCGAACTCCCAATGATCCTCCTGCCTCAGCCCCCTGAGTGCTGGGATTACAGGCGTGTGCCACCACGCCTGGCCGAAATAGAATTTTTTAGTGTAAAACTGAATTTGCTTCTAAACCATTGACCAGAAGAACAAAGAGAGTGAGAAAACTCCAAGGCAACAGAAGTGGGCTGAGGCCTGCAAGGGCTAAAAGTATAAACCCACACAACGTGAGGAGGGGGGGAGGACACAAAATGGAAACATGTGAGTGAGCTGTTCCTAAAGCTAAGCCGCGGAGGCCAAGCGGCCTGTTGCAGCTTGCGCTGGTGCTATGAGGGCGCCTGACAAGGACCACGCCCGCCCTAAGCAGCTACAGCGAGACCTCTGGGGAGAGAGGGGCAGGGGGCAGGGGAAGCTGTTCAGGGCGTCCAGAGAGCAATCGGTCCTCTCGCAGGTGGTGCTAGTGCCCGGTGCTTCTGTACCAGACCCAGAGCTGCACGTGGCCGAGAGGGGAGACGTGGCCGGGCGTGGAGGCTGCGCTCCTCGGTCCCGTGTGCAGCGCACGGGCTTTCTGACCTGGGTGGGTTACTCCTCCTGCGCACCTCAGTCCCTCCCGGAGCGGAGTCAGGGGGAGAGAGCAGCCCTCTGCAGAGGGGGAAGGCAGCCGGCGGGAGCGGGTGGCTCGCAGAAGGCTGTGTGTCCCCGTCACATTCCCCCCGACAGCACGGCTGGGGGCTGTGCGCGTCAGCCGAGGGCACGTTCACCTCTCAGAGGAGGACGTGTGGGATGCGTTCCCAGCAAACGGCGGCAGACTGATACTCAAGAGAAACTACTGGAAACTTAAAATACTTAAATATGTTTTAAATCGAGTCAGAAGTAGAATGGCTGGTTGTGTAGGGAAGGGAATGGCAGCGAGAGGCTGACAGAACTGGTCTCTGAGAAGAAAGTCCTAGCTTTTCATTGTAAGAAGATTGAAATAAACCGAGGCAGTGCAAAACACCTTTTGTTTTGGTTTGTTGGTTGGCTGGTGTTTTGAGACAGGGTTTCACTGTGAAGGGAGACCTCCCACCCAGTACTCTTCTCTAAGGTACGTGTCTCCTGGCCCCGCGCTGTTACACACACACGCACGCACGTGCCAGGCCGTGCTCGGGCACAGGCGTCCCCTGGAGGGACGGGGCGGGAAGTCGGACGTGCCTGGCGGAGGGCGCCGCCCCTCAGCTTTCTGGCCGGCCGTCTCTCCGCAGCTGTGGTTCTCTCTCCCTCAGGTTGATGAAAACATGAAGGTGGCGCAGAAGCGAGATGCGGTCCTGCAGGGAATGTTTTATTTCAGGAAAGACATTTGCAAAGGTATCGCTTTCTCTGGGGTTTCCAGGGTCCGCCTTTGCTGCCACCAGCTGCTGCAGCTCGTGTGCCCTCCCCACAGGTGGCAGTGCAGTGGTGGACGGGTGTGGCAAGGTGCCCGGCGGCGGCGGCGGCTGTGGCGGTTCAGAGCCGGCCTTGGAGGAGTACACGCTCATGAGCATAGACACCATCATCAACGGGAAGGTAGGCCCTCCCCGCAGCTCCCTAGCTCCCCTGCGGCCTCGTGAGCACACCGCCTCTCGCCCTGTCCGCTTGTGTCTTGTAGGAGGGTGTTTTTCCTGGACTCATCCCCATCCTGAACTCCTACCTGGAAAACATGGAGGTGGATGTGGACACCAGATGCAGTATTATGAACTACCTGAAGCTAATTAAGAAGAGGGCGTCTGGTACGGTGGCCTCTTTCCTTTCTTTTTCTTCACGTTCTCCTGTACGCAGAAGCACGGGCCCTTAAAAGCCTCGGTTCCTTCGAGCACCCTCTACGCCTGCTTTTGTCCGTGCCCATTTCCCCCACTCTGACACCTGTGATTTGGAGAGGCCTCGCGACTTCCGAGGGTGGCGGTGTGAGTTAGCCGAGCGTTCCCTTCTTACTGACTCAGAGCGACGCACCGTCGGGCGCGGCACTGAGGCGACGCGGGCGGGATCTGGCGGCCTGCCTGCGCTGCGCGGCCTGCGTGTCCTGCTGGGCTGTCGGACAGGGCGCTGCTCGGACGAGGAGCCGGTGTGCAGCTGGTGCGGCCGGCCCTGCAGCCTGTGCAGCTGGGTGTCGGTCCCGTTTACAGTGCTTGCCACAGTGCCAGGCCCTGGGGGCGCCAGCAGCTAATGAAAGGGGCAGTCATGATGGTAGTGACGCCTGCAGTTTCACTCGTGCTGTCACAGAGGGTCAGCTGTGGAGCCCAGGTCGCTTCTCCGCTGCTCCGCCTGCCCGTTTCCCTCTTGACTGGCTTCTCACTGCAGCCTAGTCTCTGCCTTCTGTACCGCTGTGAGCAGTGACGGGTCGTTGTGGGGTCCCCGGGTGCTGAAAGCATCGTCTTAGTCCTCTGGCCACGTGGGAGGGCACATGTCCTGGTGCAGTCACTGGCTCCTGTCCCTAAAGGTGGCTTTGCCCCCCAGGAGGTAACATTTCACCACCGTAGGAATAGATAGTGTTGTGTACTTGCTTTCGCACAGGAGGTTCTTGACATGCTCGGAGAGGTAGGCTGTTCCAGGCCCCTGCCGTGTGGCTACACGGACAGATCAGGTTGCTTTCTTTATAGACGGGTGTTTAGGTTGGCCACTAAGCACCAATTCAGTTTTTAAAAACGTGTGTTATTATATGGTCTTAAACAATGTTTGTTTTTTAGGAGAACTAATGACAGTTGCGAGGTGGATGAGAGAATTTATTGCAAACCACCCTGACTACAAGCAAGACAGTGTAATAACTGATGAAATGAACTACAGCCTTATTCTGAAGTGTAACCAAATTGCAAATGAATTATGTGAATGCCCAGAATTACTAGGATCAGGATCAGCATTTAGGAGAGTAAGGTACAGTGGAAGTAAAACCGACTCTTCCAGCTAGACGTGCCGCAGGGAGGTTCTGCAGAAGGATGTACGACCAATCAGTGAAGAGCGTCTGCAGGACTGACCAGCCTGTGCCGAAGGTGTGGAGACCAAACGCTAGCCTGCAGTGTTGCCCAGGCCAGGAGGCTAGAGTGAGCTACAGGCTTCCTTCAGTAGGTGATCTAGAGTTTATACAGTGTACATGTATATAGTAAAGTATTTTTATGATTAACAATGTATTTTAATATAATATCTCAAGTCATCGTGAGCTGGCTTATACATTTTTTAATTCTTAACTCTGGAACAACTACTGTCTAAGCAGTTTTGTAAATGTAATGTACTAGTAATTGTACAATACCGGCATTCCAGAGTTTAAAATGTTTACTGTAAATGTTTGTTCCTTTAAAGACTACCTGGGACCTGATTCACTGGAATTTATCACTTTACTTTAAAAATGTGTCTTGTTAACTTTCTTTGAGTCTTCGTTGTGGACATTGAACCACTGGAATCCATGACAGCTCTTCTTCGAGGGCAGTCTTGGATCCCCAGCACCTTGTCTCTGATGCTTCTTTTGCAATTAAGAGTAGCTGGCCGCTTGGTCACCTTGCCCCAACGTTCATCATTAAATGAAACCCACCCTCTAATAGCTCTGATTCAAATAAATTTGCTGATTCAGTCATTAAACTTAAAGGTAACTCTCTAGGAGGAAAGGAAGCTGTTACCCAGAGTTGTGTGTGAAGATGACTGGGTGTCTGTCTTGCTTCCTCCAAGAAAAGGGAGGAGTTAACCCTTCGTCCTACACATGCCGAGAGTGCTGTCAAAACATCATGAACCCTTCTGTTCGGCCTGTTACTCTGATTGCTACTGTGTATTAAATTCTCAAATCCAATGCATTTGCTGAGGTTTTATTTGTTACTCATCCTGTAGTTTCTAAAAGCCTTCACTCCAGACTTTACCTGGGGACTGTTTTACATACTGCCCTACCTTCTCTTCAAAACTCGTAAATAAATCATGAGATGCTGAGTTGTGTGAATCGGGACCCTGTGATTGGCTGCAGCCTCGTCTCTGGGTGACGCCCCTGTGGCCAGCACACTTGCTATCATTGCGTGCTCCGCCTCCCCCAGGGGTCGCCCTGGCTTCTTGTCCGCCGGGCCCAGCCCACCGAGTGGGGTGCTGCTGAGCTTGCGTTTCTAACAGGCTCCCGAGCACTGGCGCTGCCGTCTGCAGGCTACGAATGACCAGGATTTAGAGCTCTGGGTTCCTAAGTTACAGCATGTCCATTTAAAGTCTCAGCTGCTGGCTTGAATTCTGATGGGGTGGTTACATTTTTCTCACACTAAATTTTAAACCAGGTAGTGGTGCTTCCCCTACAATCAAAGCCTGTTAGAACTTTGATGAGTGTTACCATTCAAATGCAGCTGAGGAGCAGGGTTGGTGGAACAGAGCCATAAACACAGAAGTAAGCAAGAGGCGCTTTGTTCTGGTGGAAATACCATGGCCACTTAGCACACGCTGGCTGTTAAAGGTCTGCCTTCCTGATGGTCGCATCTGCTGAACCAGGAAGAGATTTCTGCCCCTTGGCTCATCTCTGAGGCCGCTTTTGAGCCCTTCATGAGAAACAGGGCTCCAGGGCTTCTGGAGCACCGCCTGGAGGAGAAACCCAGGGTGTGGTGTGGGGTAGGCCGTGCCTCTCTGGAGCTGGTAGGTTTCCTGGGGCCCTGTATCTGTGTGAAGAGGAAAAGTAGAAACAGCCTTCAAACCTCTCATAGCAGTGGTGGGACCGGAAGTCATACAGAAGTAGGCTGGTCATGCCAGGCACTTCGGAGCTTACCAGGTGAGGGGCCCTGCTAATGAGCTTCCCACACTCGCAGATGAGCCAGGAGTTCTGTTGGCCCCTCCCACCTGTACACTTCAGTGCAAATACTTCCCTATAAACATTTTTGGAAATACATGCTGAGTATTATTTTTTAAAGCGTAAGATGGCATCTTGGTGCTGCTGTAAGAGAATACCATTGACGAGTGACTTAACACATTTCTCACAGTTGTAGAGGCCAGAGGTCCAGGATCAAGGTGTGACTCATTCCTGTGAGGGCTTGTCAGGATCTGTGAATGTGACCTCCTGTACCCTATCAGGCCATTCTTCATGTCTTTAATAAGGACCCTTGTCTCATCCTTAGCGGTACCCTTATGACTTAAGTGATGTGGTTTGGGGTTTTCTCAGAGGAGAACAATATAATACAGGCACATATTTTGTAAGATTATAGTGGTCACCCACAGAATGATATACAGGAGTGCAAGAAATCTGTCCACACACTAAAGACCAAAGAATCTTGACCAGCTGAGGGCCTGGTTCCCACAGCCAACACAACAAGCACAAATCCAGCTGAAGACCTAGCACTCCTGACAGTGTCTCCCATGAGTCCGACTGGAGGCCCAGAGCCCATAACAATATCTCACGTAGGCCTGTTTCACGGATCTGTGCCCAAAGGTCAGTGGTGGAAGCTAAAAAGTCTGCCAGCAGGATGAAGGATCTGTGCTGACAAACTGAGGGATCTACACTGGAGCGAGGAAGTGATGCACAAAATAACCAGAGCTCCCCTGAAATGTACCACGGCCACCCTCAGCAACAGTGAGGTCCCAAGCTCCTCTGATGATCAGGATAGCCGAGTTCCCATCAGGAAAGCTTCTCCAAGAGGCTGAGCAGTGCACCATCTTCCCTTCTTGAGCCGGGAAGCGATGCTCAGAGTGAGGACCAGAGCTTCCCCAAAGTGAACCAAAGCCATCCTCAGCAACAACAAGGTCCTGAGCTCCCCAGAGGTTAAAAACAGCCAAATTCATCAGGAAAGCTAGCATGACAAGCTCCTCCAAAACAACCAACAGCTCTGTATAGCTTCCACCAGCTCCCAATAGCCTTTTTCTGCTCCCAACAGCCTTCCTCCTTGTCTAGTTCTGCCTCTTACCTTGCTGGCAGTAGGCCCCAGGTGGGCCTCCCACACCCAGCACCATGCTTACTCAATTCAGCTGAGTGTTATAAGTTGACCACCAGTTGTCAATCCACCATAACCCACCCCTGGTCAGTTTGATAAACATACACGTTTCCTTTATCCATAGTCTCTAGTGGCAGATATGTGAAAAGTTAACATCTTAGTATATTTACATTTACATTAATGTAACAATTACATATATTCAATTCTCTTTTTTGTGCTCATTCCCATACCAAAAGCAAAATATTTAAAGGGTAACCAAAATTCAAGGTTAAAAGACAATATTTTGAGTAATTAACCTGATTACAAACATATATGTAAAAACAACATAAAAACATATTAAAGAACTATTACAATCACAGTCCTTACTTCCCATTAATTTTTACAATGCATGGCAAGACTAAAAAATATGGATCTCCTGCAAATCAAATACACTCATTATCTTCAGGTAAAAGACTTCAGTTCGTTTTTACATTGTACTATTCTTAACAACTGTGTTCTCTGCTTCAGCCTTGCAACCCAGAGCTCCCCTAACACCACCCCTCTGGCCAAATGTTTCATGTGATTCTACTGGCTCTTTGTTCTTAATTTCAAACATAGATCTGGTGAAAATCTCTCAACAGTAACCATGCCACCATCCCACCAATAGACTACATTGAAATTTTGTTTCTCCAGCCAGGCAATGTCTCTAAACACAGGCAAAATGCAGACCAACTTCTGCCAAAGCACAGTATATGACCTGGGATCCAGCAGCCAATGCAGTCCTCTGTTGAAGCCCCCTGAGCTTCGTCTCAATGGGCAGCATTTCCATCAGTGCTCTGACTTTCCAGGCTCCAATCAGAGTCACCAATACAGTTTGAAGCATACAAGGGCTACCTCTATGCCAGTCTCAAAACTTTTCCAAATTAATTCCAAAGGTTCTTAAGTCACATGGCCAGGCAACATCAGAACAGTAACCCCACTCCTCTGGTACCAATTTTATGTTGGTTACTTTTGTCTCATTGCTGAGACAAAATACCCAACACCCAGAATTAAGGAAAGGTTTACTTAGCTCACAATTTGTGGAGGTTTCAGTCCGTACTCGGCTGTCTCCAAGGCAGGGTGGCACATGGCAGAGGGCAACAGTTTATAGTCACAGAAGATAGCAAAGAGGGAGGAACAGCAGAGAGTAGGAGCTTTCCCTCCCTTACACTGTATGCAAACTACCTGCCCCAGGGCAGGTGTAGCACTCACACCCATAATCCCAGCATTGGACTGTGGATCAATCAAAAACTAGAAGCCCGCCCAGTGACTGCATGAGGCTTTGAGGGGACATGCAGACACAAACCATAGCAAGTGACTTTCCAAAGGGCCCACCTCCAGATGCCATCGTATTTGGAGTGAGGCAATACCCTGAGTGCATAACAGAAGGTACCTGGTGCAGACTGGAGAGGAAGTGGGACATTGCTGGGTGACCTTGGCTGTGAAGGTTCTGACGGAACTGTTAGGTCTTGGTCAGCAGAGGCTGAAACAGGCTGCACATTCCCCGAGCCCCTTCTCAGTAGTCTGTCAAATGATACATTGTGAAGCTCAGCACAGGGGAGACTGAAGAGCAGTGAACCACACAGCGATACAAAAACAAAAACTGCTGCATACAACTTTGTCAGAATTCTGAGGCCTACAGGCAGTGTGAAGATTGCATTTAATCTTTAATTCTTTAGCTAACTTTCGGGTCATTTCTGCCACAAATGACAGTCCATTGTCATTGCCTATAGTCAGGGGCAGCCCGTACCTGGGGGTGATTTAACAGTACTCTGCATACTTGAGAGGCCTTTTCAGTCCTGGTCAGGAAAGCCTCTGGCCACCCAGAATAAGAACAGACAAGCAGCAGCAAATATTTGTAGCACCAGCATGGCTTAATTTCACTGCAGTCTCCTTGAGGGCCTCAAAAGGGGAGAGTCCTGCACGTTGGATTCCAGGTGGGGGTCGAGGGCCTGCTGCACGAGTTTGGCGTCTCTGGCTGACGGCTGCACAGATTGCTGTTAACTTGGGCACATGATAATAACAGCTCAGGAGCTGGGCTGTGGCAGTCTTTCCTCCATGGGTGATGGCATGGTGGCGTTTTACCCAAGTGTGAGCTAGCTCCTGTGGGGTGAGCATTCGATCATCTGCAGGGTCCGGGCACTGCTTGGGTCTGCATGTGCCCCTTCCTGTGCCCTTTTTACTTCCTCTTGAGTACAGTGGAGAGGTCCTGCTGAAGACCGAGGACGGTTTTGGAGGGTATTTCATGTAGAGCTTCTAAGTTGTGACAGTGTCTTTTACCTTTTGATGTGCTTTGCAGTGGATGACAGCCACCTTTCTGAGTTTCCATACAGTAACTAACCAAAAGTTGTAAGATTTCATCTCTAGTTTTGATTTGCTTTCCTTCGGCTATCAAAAGGCCACCTTCCTTGTACAGCACCCCATGGATGTGAACTGTGGTGAAAGCACACCTGGAATCTGTGTAAATAGTCACCTTTTTGTGTTTTGCCCAGTTGAGGGCTTATATTACAGCCCACAGCTCAGTCTGTTGAGCTGACCAGCTTTGGGGAAAAGGTCCAGCTAGGAGAACCTCTTTGATGGTGATGTCCGCATAGGCAGCTTGGCATTTCCCATTTTTGACCAGGCTACTTCCATCCATGGACAGGGTGTACTCAGCATCAGCCAAGGGCTCCATCTGCAGCTCAGGTCAGCTGGCAGACAGCTCATCAGTCAGCATAAGACCGTCGTGGTCTGGTTGTCCAAGCCCTGTGGGCAAATAGGTGGCTGGATTTAAAGCTTTGACTGGCTGGAAAGTGAGTTGGGGATTTCCAACAAGCAGTCCTTGTTGCTGAGTCATGCGGCTGCTCAAGAGCCAATGGTGTCTCCGACTGTTAAGCAGCTCAGGAACAGCGTGTGGCACCTGGACAGTCAGATTTTGTCCCAGAGTCAATTTGTCTGCCTCCTGGGTCAGGAGAGCTGTAGCAGCAAGCGCCCACAAACAGGGAGGCCATGCTTTTGACACTGAGTCCAGAGTCTTGGACAAGTAGCA